TCCCACCGCCCCTACTGGCCCGGGACAGCGAACCGCTGCCAGTGCGGGCCGCGATCGGCCGAACCTGCCGCGTCAGCAGGTAAATAAACTGGCCCGGCCCACCAGGGTGCTTACCCTGATGAGCCGCGTGCCAAACGTTGCCGACCCCTGGTCTAGTTGTTGCCCAGTCTAATCGGGTTGAGAGTTTAGACTACCTGTTTATATTTTATTTTTTTTGGTAACTAACTTTTTGCCTATCACTTAAAATCTATCTTTTGTAGTCAATACATTTGTTTTACTGTTTATCTTCATCAGTGAGTTTGCCTGAAATGTGTGGTAAATCTGCTCAGGTTTTGCGAAGGCTGGTATATACCCACTTTCCATTGATGAAGGGGTGAACCAATTAATAAATCTGCATTGTTCATCTTGAGCAGTGCGAGACGGTATATTCCTGAGGTTTACGGCTGGGAGCGGGGGGAATTTGGGCTCCGGTGCCTTTCTCCGTGAGATTCATGAGTGGCTCTTGGAGCATTCATGCAATATAGCTGGGTGTGGGGTCTCCACATGCGGTCGTGCTGAGTGATAACAGCACCTGGAGGGGTTTGCTGCTGGTCACTAGCAAGGCACTGTGAGAGACAGCCCAGGCTGGAGAGAGTTCAGGGGGCACAGCGGTCCCACAGTCCCAGGCTGCATCCTGGGGATCCCATCACAGGTACTCACAACTAGTTTTGTTCTTTAGAAGACCCATTGCTTGAAGTTGCTTTTTGGATCCCTTTGCTTTTTCAAAGGCAGCCCGTCATACTATCCTTGCATTGTTTCTTGGATGTTTTCCTTATCCCAAACCTCTATCTTTTATGGCCAGAACCACAAAGTAACCACAGAGTTTGTTACTTTTCATTTTCTATTTCTATTGAACATCATTTTTTAAAAGCTTATAAATCCTTTGGACACAGGTGCTATATCCTGTACTTGTAGACGGTGAGCTGATGATTTCTTTAGTCTTCTCCATATAAGCTATAATCCTAAGAAGCCCGTCATGCAACCGAGAAGCCTGCTTAGCACACTAGCTTTTCTTATTATGTATACTACAGTTGCCCCCAGAGGCGCCATCTGAGACTGCTAGGCTCAGTACAATCACAGTGTGAAACAGACTTTGCTTTGAAGAGTTTATGGACAATGGGTGGAGGGGAACCAAGCCACAGCCAGATGAAGTGACCACTCAAAGGTATGGAGTCAGTTAGTGGCAGAACGTGAACCAGAACCCGAGTCTCCTGCCTCCCAGTCCAGTTCCTATCCTCTAGATACTTTTAAATGACAACATTTTAACAAGTAAATGAATATTTCTTTCACTGCATGATACTCAGATTTGTTCCTCTTTGCTTCAGAAGCAAAGATGTTTTTACTGATAGCACTAGTCATCTCCAGCTATTTAAAGATTAAAGGTCTAATTTTCATAATTCCTTATTGACTTCACTGGCAACTCTGGATCCTTAGCCACTCTGAAAAGTCAAGCCGTAAACCTACTGATTTTTTAAATGCTAAAATACTAATAGCCAAGCGTGTTATTTCCAGAGTTCATTATAGGCTTTAGCATAACTTCATTGTTACTTGAGGTTTCTAGTACAGAAGTTATGAATAACCAAAGTAGCACACCAGCACAACCACTAGCAAAATTAGCAAGTATGCTAAGCTGTGATGCCATCGTATTACACAAGCTAAGGGCAATAAGGCTGCAGGGTAAATGACAAATGTAAGGTATGATAGTAAAGTTTTTGATACTGATGTGCAGAATCCTAGATTCATAGATTCTAAGGCCAGAAGGTACCATTCTGATCATCTAGTCTGACCTCCTGTATAAAAAAGGCTAGGGAACTTCCCCCAAAAAATTCCTACAGGAGATTTTAGAAAAACATTATTGAAATTTAAAAATCTCCAGTGATGGAAGATCCACACATTTTGGTAAACAGTTCCAATGGTTAATAACCCTCGCTTGAAAATTTTTTTACCCCTATTTCCAGTCTGAATTTGTCCTGCTTCAACTTCCAGACGATGTGTTTGGAAGTAGCTGGCCTGCAAGCACTTATCTCATTGGACATTATCGATTTGCTCAGGACAAAATAGAATCTGTAGAAAACTCTGCCCAGACTACAGTCAAATCAGCTTGAGTAGGAGACAACAACTCCCTCACTCCCAGCAATAAGCAAATGTAGTTGTAAGACTAATGTTTTAGACAGCAGTATGAATTAAACATGTTTGTGGGACTTAACCTATCTTACTTTCCTTAAGAATTCTTAGAAGTTGTGAGACTGCTTCCACTTTATAAGAAAATTAAATCTAGTTTTGGTCAAAGCCAAGTAGGTCTGTCAATGTAAATATACTTAATTGATTCCTATATGTAGAAAATAAGAGTACTGGAAAGCAAACAACTGCCGAGTAATGTATAAAATTTAACTTTTCTCCCCAAAAGCAGATCCTGCTTCAGCTCATTAATGGTGTTATGACACAGGTTCAGGGCATGGTGGGACATCTTGGCATGAGTGGGAAAGACCCAAACTGTAGGGTAGTAACTTTGGCAACTTGTTGGACAAGTTGTAAAAGTCTAAAAAGAGGAAGATGCCAAAATACCTAACGAAGTCAGGTTTTAGAATTCAGATGCTCATAGAAAGTTTACAAAAACTTTGCTATCCACCTTAATATTTTCATTATTATATTGTAATTTACATGTTAGCGCCACACAAGAATTATTTGTTCTGAGCACAGTCAACTCCCAAGGAAATTCCTGCACTGGCCTGGGGGCAGTATTTAAGTTCTGTATACAGGATTGTTTTAAATAAAATCTTAAGGTAAATGGACGTGATTAAGAATAAAAATTTAACAAGAATATATTTGGACTTCTATACAGTTTGTTTATTTTTAAAACAGAACCTAAGAACCGCCATACTGGGTCAGACCAAAGGTCCATCTAGCCCAGTATCCTGTCTTCCGACAGTGGCCAATGCCAGATGCCCCAGAGGGAATGAACAGAACAGGTAATCATCAAGTGATCCATCCCCTGTTGCCCGTTCCCAGCTTCTGGCAAACAGAGGCTAGGGATACCCTCCCTGCCCATCCCAGCTAATAGTCATTGATGGACCTATCCTCCATGAATTTATCTAGTTCTTTTTTGGTAAGTAAAGGAGAAGCTAATATTACCTGAAGCTACCTGCAAAGGCCTGATTTCCAAGTTCTGCTTTCTGTATTAGTAGCAGCATAAGGAATGCAACCTCTGACTCGGTTTAGAAGTTAGCAAAATCACCATCAATAGCTACACCAGAAATATAGAACCCTTGAGTGCTTGAACTCAGGTTATAACCAATAACAAAGCCTTTTAGTTCTCCTTTAGAAGGTTTTGTTTGGTTGGTTGTTTTTTTGTGTGTGTGTGTTTTTTAATAGCTTGAGCCAACACACGCATTCTGATTATAGCTTGGCACTTAAAAAAAAAATAAAGGCAGCTTTCACTTCACCTTTGAATTCATTAGATGATTGTTCACTTTTTAAAAATTAAAATGTACCAACCATAATAGCTACACTCTTTATTAATGCACAGAAGGCATAACATACAACTTCAGATACAGAGAGTTATATATGAAGCTTCGATACTTTATGCACTTTATCTTCAGCATTTCTGAAGTGTCTATTACATTTGGTATCTAAATATTGAACAAGCGTACTGTGAGGCCTTCCTATATTGAAAATTCTGTAATGCAAACATTTAATATTCAGCTTGGGAATAGTACCACTGCCCCATATACAAATACCCACAAACTAAAGGAGGTTTGGATTCAAACTTGTTTGCTTGAACCCATCTCTAGAAGACAAACACACACTCTTGATTTTTTTATAGTAATCTCTAATGTTTGTCTGAAGAGACTGGCCTTTTCCCCTCCCCATAAGGCTAACAAAGGGTCAGACTGAGGCTTAGATACATGAAAGCAAAAAGAAATTAGATTGTAAAAGCTAGGAAATCCAGAGTAAAAATTGCTGCTCATCCACTTTTGTGCACAAATAAAAAACAGAATCTGTGCATCACACACTCTTGTTGAGATCTGTTTAATATTTATGCCCAATGACACATTAACAGCAGCATGACAACCTTAGCTATCAATTTGCTCACTTTTTCAGCTTAAACTTTTCGGCTATAATGGAAAAACTGACAGAAGTTCAATAGTAGCACTACTGGTTACTAAAAAGTTTGCCTGCTCTAAAGCACATATTACAGAAGTAATGGTGCTATTTAGAACTATTCTGTGAAATGTCGGTAAAGTATCATAGCTAGGGCCCTACCAAATTCAGGGTCCATTTTGGTCAATTTCACAGTCATAGAATTTTAAAAATAGTAAATGTCATGATTTCACCTATTTAAATCTGAAATTTCACGGTGTTGTAATTGTAGGGGTCCTGAGCAAAAAAAGGAGCTGTGAGGGGGTCGCAAGGTTATTGTAGGGGGGCTGCAGTACTGGTACCCTTACTTCTTCCCTGCTGCTGGAGAGCAGCGGCTGCTGGCTGGTAGCCCAGCTCTGAAGGCAGAGCTGCCCCCAG